GAGCCTGTCTGTATGATCTGTATATTGCTGAAAGTGGGGTGTTGAAGTCCCCTACTATTATCATGTGCCAATCAATCACTCCCTTTAGGTCTGTCAGTATTTGGTTTTTATATTTAGGTCCTTCAGTGTTGGGGGCATATATATTTGCAATTGTTATATCCTCCTGCTGTATTGACTCCTTTTCATTATATAAGGGTCTCCTTTCTCTTTTTAAAATTGTTTAAAGTCTATTTTATCTGATGTAAGTATAGCTATACCTCTTATTTAGAGGAAAAGATGAAATATCTTTTTCTATCCCTTATAGTCTATGTGTATTCTTATATGTGAAGTAAGTTTTTTGCAAGCAGAATATATTTGCGTCTTGGGTGGGTTTTTCTTTTAATTCATTCAGTCACTCTGTCTTTTAATTGGAGAATTTAGTCTAAGTACATTAAAGGTTGTTGATAAGTAAGGACTTACTACTGCCATTTTGTTACTTGTTCTCTTGTGGTTTTGCAACTCTTCTCTTCCTTCCTTTCTGTTTTCCTTTGTGGGTAAGTGATTTTCTCTGGTAGCGTGTTTTAGTTCCTTGCTTTTTATATTTAGTACATCTCTTACAGCTTTTCTTTTCTTTTTTTTTTTTTTTTGCACTTTTTGGCCAAGACTGGGTTTGAACCCACCACCTCCAGCATATGGGGCCGGTGCCCTACTCCTTTGAGCCATAGGCACTGCCCTCTTATAGGTTTTTGCTTTGTAGTTACCATGAAGCCTACAAAAAACATCTTATAGTTATAACCAGTTACTTTAAACTGATGACAACTTGACTTTGATTGCAAAGTAAAGAAACTGAAAAAAAACAACAAACCTTGGGCCAGGTGCTATGTCTCATGCCTATAATCCTAGCACTTAGAGGCCGAGGTGAGTGGATTGCCTGAGCTCACGGGTTCAAGACCAGCCTGAGCCAGAGCGAGACCTTGTCTCTAAAAATAGTGGGGTGTTGTGGTAGATGCCTGTAGCCCCAGCTATTCGGGAGGCTGAGGCAAGAGAATCACTTGAGCCCAAGAGTTTGAGTTTGCTGTGAGCTATGATGCCATAGCACTCTACCAAGAGTAACAAAGTGAGACTCTGTCTCAAAAAACAAAACAAAAACAAAAAACCTTAAAAGCTATATTATCTTTATCTCCCTTCTTTTATTGACTTCTGGATTTCTTAATTTACATTTGTTTATATTGCCTATCGTTTAACAAATTGTTGTGGTTATTACTAGTTTTAATAGTTTTGTCTTATAATCTGCATACTAAAGATATGAGTGGTTTGCATACCAAAATTGCAGTATTAGAGTATTCCAAATTTATCTGTATACTTACTTTTCTAACATTTTTTCTTGTTTCACATTAGGAACCTTTCCCTTCAGACTGAAGAACTCCCTTTAGCATTTCTGGAAAGACAGGTCAGGTGGTGATTAATTCCCTCAGCTTTTGTTTGTCTTGGAAAGTCTGTTTCTCCTTCATGTTTGTAGATAGCTTTGGTAGGTATAGTATTGTTGGTTGGTGGGCTTTTTTTCCCCCTTTTCAGTACTTTGAATATGTCATCTCACTCTCTCAACTGCTTAGAAGTCTGCTGCTAGACATATTGGAGCTCCTTTATATATTATTTGTTTTCTCTTTCTGCCTTTAGGGTCTTTTTTTCATTCTTGACCTTTGAGAATTTGATTATTATAGGCCTTGGGGTAGTCTTATTTGGCTTGAATCTGCTTTGTGATCTTTGACCTTTAGATATTTATGTCTTTATTCTCTAGGTTTGGAAATTTTTCTGTTACTATTTCTTTGAATAAGGTTTCTATACCTCTCATTTTTTTCTTTTTTCCTTTCTTCTTTTTTTTTTTTTTTTTTCCCACTGTGTCACCCTCAGTAGAGGGCTGTGCTGTCACAGGTCACAGCAACCTTCAACTCTTGGGCTTAAGCTGTTCTCTTGCCTCAGCCTCCCAAGAAGCTGGGACTACAGGTGCCTGCTACAATGCCCGGCTATTTTTTGGTTGCAATTGTCATTGTTGTTTATCTGGGCCAGGCTGGGCTCAAACCCACCAGCCTTGGCGTATGTGGCCGGTGTCCTACTCACTGAACTATGGGCATCGAGCCTCATTGGTTCTTTTTTGTGCTTGATCAGTTCTGCTGTTGAGATCTTTTAGTGCATTTGTTGGCCCATTATATTTTTCAACTCCAGGATTTTTTGATTTTTTAAAAAATTATTTCCAATTTTGTTAAATTATGCTAATAAATTTCTGAACTGTTTCTCTGTTTCATCGAAGTTAAATGAGTTTCTTCAAAACAACCATTTTGAATTCCCAGTTTAAGAGATCATCTCTGTCTCCCAGGATTGATCACTGGAACCTTATTTAGTCTGTTTGGTGAAGTTGTATTTCCCTGAGTGTTCTTTTTTATGTTACTTTATTTTACTTTTTAAGACAAAGTCTCACTCTTTTGCCCTGGCTAGAGTGCCATGGCATCATTGTAGCTCATAGCAACCTCAAACTCTTATGCTCAAGAGATCCTCCTGCCTCAGCCTTCTAAGTAGCTGGGACTACAGGTCCCCACCAAAAAGCCCAGCTTGTTTTTCTATTTTTAGTAGACACTGGGTTTTACTGTTGCTCAGGCTGGTCTTGAACTCCTGAGCTCAAGCAATCTACCTGCCTTGGCCTCTCAGAGTGCTAGGATTACAGGCATGATCCCATAGTACCCGGATTCCCTGGATGTTCTTGATGCTTGTGGACATTTGTTGATGTCTGGGCATTAGAAAATTAGATATTGGCTTAGCACTTGTAGCTCAGTGGTTAGGGCACTGGCCACATACACTGGGGCTGGCAGGTTCAAACCCAGCCAGGGCCTGCTAAACAGTGACAACTCTGCAACAAAATAATAGCCAAGCATTTTTTGGCAGGCACCTGTAGTCCCAGCTACTTGGGAGGCTGAGGCAAGAGAATCTCTTAAGCCTAAGAGTTTGAGGTTGCTGTGAGCTTTGATGCCATGGCACTCTACCGAGAGTGACATAGTGAGACTCTGTCTCAAAAAAAAAAAAAAAAAGAAAAAAAAAAAAAAGAAAATAAAAGAAAATTAGATATTTATTCCAGTCTTTGCAGTCTGGCCTTGTTTCTACTGTCCTTCCTCCATGGGCCTTGTAGGAATTCAAAGGGGCTTGACTATCAAGACTCTTACGCCTCTACCCTTGATGGAGTTGGGGGAGATCAGGGAGAGTTCCTTTCTTCCCTGCACTCTTAAGTTCCCTGCACTCTTTCTTTTCTTCCTCCCAAGCAGAAGGAGGGTCTCTCTCCATGCTGTACTTCCTGGAGTTGGGGGAGGAATGATACATATACTCTTATGACTGCCACCACTGGCACCATTCTAGGTTGCACTGTAGGCCCATAGTCCACTAGAGTGGTACAGCATTGATACTGAAGGCCCCTTACCTATACTGTCTGACTACCACTGATATTTATATGGGGCCCAAGGCCACTTTAGTCAGCTGGTGGTAAAGCTAGTCAGGACTTGGGTCTGTCCTGCCAGGGCAGTGGATTCCCTTCTGGCCCAGGATGGGGCTAGACATGGCCTCTGGGAAGACTGGCCCAGAATTGTGGTGTTCTATCCAGTGTTATTTTACTTTGATATGGCTGGAACTAGATTCATAGGCAAAGTTCTTTCTTGTCCCTCTTTCGAATAGAAGGATTATCTTTCCATGCTGGACTGCCCAGAGTTGAGAGCTGATACGGCCTCTCTCATAGTCATTGCAACTGATGTTGTGTTGGGTGTCTCAAATTAGTGCAGCATTGGGGTTTGCCAAAGGACCACAGTTGCAATGGCCTGCCTACCACTCAAATTTATCCAGGACCTAAGGCCACTGTAATCACCCCATGGTGAAGTAGGCTGGGACATAGGTTTCTTACCAGGTTGATAGATTCTCTTCTGGCCCAGGGCAGACCAGAATGCTCCCTCCATGGGCACTGGCCTGGAATCAAGGGCTGCAGATTTCTGCCTGGTTCTGTGTTTTAGTTTGATGGGGCCAGAACTAAGTTCCAGTGAAAAGTCCTCTACCAC